GTTCCTTGTACTTGCACATTACACAGGCCGACAGCCATTCTTGGCCGCTTATTTTGCTTTCTTTTTAGCTCTGTATCGTGCTGCGTACGGTCTATTGTTTTCTATCATAGCCCTTTATGGAGTACCTGTGAAACCCTCGGCAAGGTTTATTCTACATCATATCATACCCGGCACGGCGTTTTGATCGGCTCAAGCTAGCTGAGACAGGATAATTCACTGACAAGTACAAGCAAGCAAGGTCACAGGCGTTGAGGGGTTGTTCCTTGACCTTCCTCGACATATGCTTTCGTTACTACTACTAGATCTGGGTCTATGTAGGCCTTTACTTCTCTTCACTTCATATATGGAGTCTCTCTCGGACTTGATACACCGACTCTTTTTTACTCTACTTTACTCTACTCGCACTTCCTATCTTCTTCTTTCCTTCTTTCTCGTTTCTGGTCACATTTCTTTTCTCTCTTCTCAGATATCCCAGAACAGAACAGAACAAAGAAGTGATAAGCGAGCAGTTTACTACACCATACATACATATACAACATGCATGACGCATTAATAGGAAAAAGAGAACAAATCCTCAAGATTAGAGCGTGACTCGGCAGCGATGCACGTACAATGATTGAATCGAACAAACAATAAACCAAATCATCCATTAACACCACGCCACCCCCATAAGAGCTAACCAGTACAGCAAGTGACTTCTACTACTAAATTCACTTAAAAAAAAAAAAAAAAAAAAAAAAAAAAAAAAAAAAAGGGCCTCGTACTAGTTTGCTAATTTATTTAAGACGAAGGGTGCTGACTCGTCCACTACCTACTGTAGCCTCATATGAAGATGCCAAGCCAGCATGCAAGCCACACAAACATGTTATGCAATTGCCCCACCACTGCAGTTGAAGAGTTGATTTGATAGTAATAAAACAACAACACACTGCAACCAAAGAACAAAACACGAATAGCAGACTGAAAGGTAAACTACTAGTACTTGATTACAAGCAAATCGTTTCCACCATATCTTACCACAACTGTCCACCCATATAGATTAAATACAAGTAACCAACTAACAAGCATAGTACTGATTACCATAACATTTATAAATGTATGAAGAGATGAGATGATACTATACGACAAACATTGAAATTGCAAATAAATATGAAAATATTCCCTGCTTTCATTGCGAATATGCTATGGAATGGTGGTATGGCATGGTATGTAAGTTATATAAGATGATAACACAAGCAATAAAGTAGCAACGACAACAACATGATGCAAATGCAAAGATACTCCATCCAAATGATGAGATACACAAATCACCACGAATTAACAATGATTCCTTGGATGTAGTAGCTAATATAAAAAAAAAAGAAAAATAAAGGAAAATAGAAACTCCAGTAGTATAGTTAGTAGCAGTAGTAGAAGTATCCCGTAATAAAATGAGTTTGGTATATTTTTTTTTCTTTCATTCTCTTCTCTCTTCTCTACTAAATCCACACTTATCTGCTTTAGTCATCAACATCGGTCTCTGTGTTCGTGTCGCTGGTATCTCCTGCATCTCCGTCGGTATCACTTTCGTCATCGTCGCTGGAGTCGTCAGAGGGCTTCTTGGTCTTCTTCTTGGGTGGTTGGCCGGTCTTGAGGGCTTGCATTTGGCCGGCTATTGAGTCTGTAGATTATCATGGTTAGTATAAGTTGATCTATTTGTGAGACTAAAGGTTTAATGGGGGTGGCTTACCCTCGTCAGGTTCACTGATATCATCCTCCTCATCCAGAGCGGCCGCCTTGGCCGGGTCGTCAATGTGAAGGGTGATTTCCATCTTGGTATCGAGACCCAGGTAGCTATCACAGAGCATGTTCATGACGAAAGTAAAGTCACCGACTTGAGGAGGAGCCTGGAACTGCATCTTTAGAGTCTGGACGTTGAAAGTGGGCTTGCCGTCGGCGTCGAAGAGGGGCTTATCGAAGGTAGTGAAAGTGAAGGGAGGAACGGCCATCTTGCCCTGCTTGGCGTCGGCCAGGAAGATATGCCACCGGGGCGAGTGGTCGCGGGCCAGGTAGGGGGCGTGAGCGAGGGGAGGCTGGATGGATTCGACCTTCTCTTCGACATTGACGCCGTTGACGAGCTTGGTGGTCTTGTTCTTGGCGGGTTTGCGGCCCATGATGGCGTCGAGGTCATCTTCGTCGGGGTCGATGTCTTCAAGGTCGATGGGGTTAACTGGCGGGACGTCTCCGCTGTATCCAGGAGGGATGAAGCGGGCCTTGACGACCAGTTGGACGAGACTGCTAGGAGTGATGACCTTTTCGCCCATGACCTTGAAGAAGGCGCGGGAGACTTCGAGAACGGGGAGCTGCTTGGCAACGGTAACGGCGGACGTGTACTGCTTCTCGGACATGAGGCCGGCACCGACAGTGAGGCTGCGACGCTTGTCTTCGGGGATGCTCATGAACTTCTGGACGGTGAAGTGTTCCTTCGCGTCGGTGCCTTCAACAGACTTAACGACTTCCTCGGTGAAGTGAGGGAGCTGCAGGAGAGGGGACGAGCCAGGCGCAACAGCTTGGATGAGATGCTGGGAGGTCCGGAAAGAACCCAGGATGGGTCGGACGTTACCGAATGCCAGAGCGATTGCTGTGAAAGCTTCATTCAGCGAAAGAGCGATCGGTGCAGCTTCGTACTTTTCTGTGAATTACATCAGTGTCAGCCGATTCTAAAGAGACGCATTGGATGCAAATTCACGTACCTCCGTTAAGTGTAATGTCTTCCAGGTCAACGCGGCCGAGGTAAGCCCACAGCAATGCCAGAGCCTTGCGTCTGCTAGATTCGTCCAAACCCTTGATGATCTCGCGGTCCTCGGGCGACAGGAAAGTGGAGTCCTCAGCCAAAACCTTCTTCTCGAGCTTGGCAAGTCCAGCATCCGTTTTAGGTCCCTGAAGCATTTCCTTGAACTCTGCGCCGGAAGACAGGGCGTTGACGATGCCGCCATCGGTGATGTCCTCTTTGTATTCGCGGAAGATATTTCCGGCACTTGCGACAAGGACCCGTTCCTTAGTGTAGCGCTGGGAGCCATACCACCATTTTCCGACAATGTAGGGCAGCAAAACACCAAGCAGTGCACCGTAGACCAGCAGAGTGTACTTGGAGTTACCCTCCGAAACGATGAACGTGGGCAGAGCGATACCGATGCTCATGCTCTGCTTGCCATCAGGGTGGCCATACTGGATGTAGTTGTTGCGGATTTCCTCGTCGGTGAGCGCCTTGTATGCCTTGGTAAGCTCAACGAAACGTTCGTTGAGCATCTCAATAGTCTCATTCTTTGCGGGGTCCGGCCGAATCTTGTCAGGATGGTAGATAAGTGAAAGGCGCTTGTAGTGTCTCGAGATGGCTTTCTCATCAGCGCTCTGTAAGTCGCCATAGTTAGTACAGCTAAGTAACCTATTGGTGGAGGCGACCAAAACGCCAGGTGGACAGATTGAATGCTCACCCTTGAAACACCCAGAATGTCATAAGGGTCCCAAACTTTGGGCACCGTCCTCGCGGTGACGACGATCAGGTAGGCCATCCACGCCATGACAGCGTAACCCACGACAACGGTGATTATGCGCTTAATGCGGCGCTCTTTGCGCAGGCGTTTGCGCTTCTGCGCCTCAATAAGCTCTGCATGTTCTGGCTTGAACTCGGACTTTATCCGGGGAGCGGTGTTTTCAAGACCTGCAGCAAAACGGAAGAATTAGTACCAACCACAATCTGGCGGTGGAAACCTGCGAGTCTCTAGAGGGTATAAGGCTGGTACGAACCCTTGCTCGGCCGGAGAAGGTTATATGTGAGAGGGAGTGTGACGAGACTGGTGAGGGTCAGGACAAAGAACGGGAAAAATTGTCCCTAGTGAAAATGTCAGTTCGTGTGTTTCATTGGCTTCTGATCCAAGAGGCGACCGACCTTGTCATCGTAATTGTAGTCGGTAGACATGGTGAAGCAAATTCACAATGGACACGGTCGCCCGCAGCGGGCAGGACTGGAACAAAAAGAGTGTCTCCCGGACACTGAGTACGCTGCGTGACAGATATGTCCAGCAGATCAAGACAATTAGTATAGAATTCAAGTCGTGTAATAGAGGAGCATTATCCCTCTGTCAGGCGTGACAAAAGAGTGTGGAAGGTGGAGGGAAGGTGAGAGAGCAGGCCGGAGTAACTGTCGACAAGATGGGATTATCCGCATCGGCGTCGGCTGTACCTTGTGATCGACCGTGTCCTTTACGGGGCCGTAGGGGGCTACACCGCCTGCCTGAATGGAATTAGTGGCTTGGTCCCAGTTATTCAGGCTTTCAGGGTCATGTGCTTAGTTTTGGGTCTACTTTTGACTTTTAGCTAACTAGTCCTCCGTAAGGCGTGACTAGTTCGTCGATGACTCTATCGCGATGACTACATTTTCTTAGTTGCTCTGTTGTATGAATAAATTATCATGATGACATTTTTTGACTAATGTCAGGCCGTACATATTGATACTGTACAGCGCTCAGGTCTATCTACTAGGATACAGGAAAATCTCCGGGTTTAGGTATACAAGCATGTCACATCCAAGCTTCATTTCATCATAAAACTGGTATCCCTCTTTTTTGTGTATCCCAGGAATGGACAACTTTTAACGCCATCCCAAACTTTTTGGTAATTTCCGTTTCCTCATAAATTTCGAGCATCAGAGCCAGCTCTGGGTATTAGCGTGGGAACGGAGGTCCCCTACACGCTAGACAGACGGAAATGCAAAAAGAAATCCGCACAATGTGAGTCACTTACCCGCTTCGCAGGGAATTCAAGCGCCAAAATGACCGGAGACTGGGTCGGGCACGAACTCGACCCACGAAAGCGACTAAGCCGTCGCCATGGCAGACCCTCTGATCTCGACGTTGCAAGCGTGCCGGTTTCCTCCATGCCAGCGTTCACATGGCCAAGCCTTTCAAAAGACCAATCCAATCGCGCCTCTCCCTTCTCACAGGTAGAGGGGATCTTCATTGCTACAAGTCATTGACTTGGGTCCTCCATTGAAAACTGGTTCTCGCGCATTTATTTCGAGAGCAGGTATTGTTCTGGTTTCGCTGATGTCGGATTTTGATTTTCGATAATGTCGGGATGGGGCCCGTTGGCGATCGGTTGAGTATTGCGTGCCATTTGGGTATGCCTTCGTTTCCCTTTTTTGGTTTTGTTGAAAAATTATTCTTTCCACCGCCTGGACGACAATTATAGTATTGCTGCAAAAGAAAGCCCAATGACGTCTGCAGGATTAAAGTCACCCAGGTAGTGCGTTTAAGGATTGTGGACTATGAGGGAACTGTTAGTCATTGTTCTTCCAGTGCTAGAATTTGAGTCAAGACAACTCACCAATCGATATAGTCGAGTCCACCGAAGTACTCCAACATGCGATAACAGAGACCAACATCGTCGCCCGGGACACCGCCAAAGAGACGATACTGTTCCGCCTCCAGCGTAGAAGCCTCCATCCTCAGCGCACGATCACGCTTCTGCCCTAGCAAATGCCCATAGTGCCAGGTCGGGGCGGGTATTTCAGGACAGTCGAAAGCGGAGGGAACAGCTGGAGCGCAGGTATTGACAGGTCGTGAGAAAGGGTGGGACGGAAGATGTAGAGGATTGACGCTGCGGTTTCGAGATCGGGGTCGTGTGCGACGTCGATTATGTCTCTGGCCCATTCTCCGTCCAATCCGGCGAAAAAGAGGAAATATAGCTTGTTGAAACTTTTTTTAATTCTTTTCGGGGTGTAGGTCGTGAAGGTGTAGTAGGGGAAGCGGGTATTTTTTCAAGACAATAGTCCCCAGTTATAAGGAGGGGATCTATTGTCCGAAGAGGTCTTTTTTTTATAATAAGACGATTAGAAAGGAAGGAGTGACCATCACCCCTGGGAAGGATGAGATGAGGTGAGGAAAAAACCCAAGCCAAAGGAGATCAGGAGATCATGAAGCGGGAACAGGCGTATATATAGATGTGGATGGCGGATGGAGAATGGCGCAACCCGAACGATTGCCGAAACGGAGAAAGCAGTGGTGTGACTCACTACATCCCAATAAGGTTACAAAGGCACAGAAAGCAGGACGAAAATCTTCACATCCGGCTCGGGGGGGGATCCACTCAAGCATCCCCCTACTGTCGGGAGTGCCAACTCCACTCTGATGCAGTCTAGAAGCAGAAATACCTAACCCTGCTTGCCGATGGTGAAATGTGGTCTCATGGAGAAGGGCGATTGCGTAGTGATTTGGCTCGCACCAAATCATCTCTAGTGGCCCTACGGAGCACAAGGGCGCGACTCCGTAAGTGCAAGAAGTTTCACGAATTAGGGTTCTCCTGAGTCACTACTCCCCGACAAAAAGTCTAGTTACTTAGTCTACTACTATTCTTGGTTATACCCTTTTTCTTTCTCTTTCCCTTGCCTCCTCCCATCGTGATGGAACCAGTAAGAACTATTCGCTGCCTTCCACAATGAGTGAGAAAATTCTGGTTCAGCCTAGCTGCCTAACACAAATAAAATCTCTGATTGAGTTCTGTGCGCCTGGCAAAGGAAACAGAAACAGAAGAAAGAATTTTAATGCGGCCCAGTCAGTAGTACCCACGGTGCAACTTAATCGGAATAAACGGAATTATTAGACCATCAGGAGCCGTTGAACAAAGGGCCAAAAGGGGACCGAATAAAGAATAACAAAAATTAAAAAATATGTTGCCAAATATTATCCCAAAATGCAGTGGTCTGACGCCATGCAGAAGGAGGTTCTCGGCCCCGAATGAGCCAAATTTTCTCGACGATGAGCAAACAAGGTACTCCTGTTACGATACCAAAACCCGTCTCCGATGCCGCTGTCCCCAGTTGTGATGTCATGTGATCTCGATCGACATGGTTTTCTCTTAGTCATATCTATATCCACGCACTTTCTCTTTCCTTATTGCAGGACCACATTTGAAACCCACGAGGACTCTGGTTACAACCACGCACCTTGCTCAAGCCCGTTTCAGCCTGGCGAGTGGCGAGGGGTGGATGCCGTACGGGCCGAGCGGGTATTATGACGCGCCAAAATTACCTTGCATTAGTCGAGTCCAAGGCAGTTTAGTGTTCAATCACTTCAGTCAGTCAGGAGATGACAACAACATCCTACCACGGCTGCTTCGGCAGCATCTTTCACTACGGAGGAAATCGGGCATCTTTTGGTTCAGTTGTCAAACTTGTCAGATTTTGTTTCCTATTTACTCCGCGCGTCGATCTATAGCGGCATGGCTGATAGATGGTACTACTAGTAGTACTTAGATAGTACTAGCAGTAGTCTTTATTTATTGTGCGGGAATCGATCAATAATTCTAGATCCAATTTTCCCTTCTTGTCGATCAATTGTTGACGGGACGGAACAACTAACTATACGGGTGCACCCTTTTCGATAATCGCAATAATAAATAATAATGCCTCAACACAGCCGAAACCGCATCAATAACATCCTACCCAACCAGTCTAACTAACTAACAAGGTATATCCCTCAAACTCATCAAATTCTCGCCCCCCTCCACAAACTTACTCACCTTGGGGGCAACAAAATTGAGGGAAAAATCTCTGCAGATCTCGGTACAAAAAAAGAAAAAAAACCGCAAAAAAATTCTGCTTTGACCGACTTTCGTGGCTCTAATCCGGCTTTGACACATGTCCCATACTATACTCCTTTGGCATCGATAGTTATTCTTTGTGCAGCATGAGTGCTTTTTGTTTGTTCCTGGCGAACGGACTCGGACAAACCATTTGCGATATGCGACTACGTAGCGCGTGGCTGGCAAGCCATCTGGCAAGACAGGTTCTCTAGTGAGATGCATGCCTGAATATACTGCAGTAGTGGATATCAAAGTTTTACTGGCATCTACTTAACCTGGGTAGTTGTATGCCTGAATCACGGAGTAGAGTTCCTGTTCAAGTTGTTTGTTTATTGTTGGTTGGTTGGGTAGGTAGGTAGGTAGCTGCAGGGCAGACAGGATTGAAGCAAACTGCGAACCTACCACTTACTAAGTTACTGATATGCATAGCTATAGCTATGAAGCTATAGTATAACTACCCTACCCCAACCACAACTACCACGTAGTCCCAACGAACGTGGCCCATCTAAACATCACATCTACTTCGTTTTCACACTCGCAAACAAACCATCCTCTCCCTCTCTTGTTCACACACTCAAAGAAAACAAAGCCCTATCGCACTAAACCAACCAACTAACCGACCCCCAAACTGTGTGTCCACTGTCCAGCTCTACGTGGGCACACTGGAACTACGTACTAACTCATCCCATCTCCTTCCGTCTTCCCCGAGACTCCATTTCCAACACTACCTACTTACCGTCGGAGTCCCATTTTCTCTTCTAACCCCCGCAAATGGAGAACACGATGAACTAGCCCTGATGTGACCCATCCAAACCCTCCCCTCCCATCCCCTCCCCTTTTACCACAGTTTGTTATTATTGTTTCTAAGTGGTGGTGGTGGTGTTGTTGTTCACGCACGCACGAATAACAAAAAGTACTACTACGTACTACGTACCTTGCAAGCCCTAGGGCACGGCAAACCTACTCCACCCCTCCACATTACTATCTACCGCCCCCTTTTGTGGCTTTTATTCACGATGGGGGCGTAAGGACTAAGAGAAAAAAAAAATTGAATATGTGGAGTTTTTGTGTGGGTGGGAAATCTTGGCTTGGAATGATCGTGGGTTTTCTAGACTGGGAGGGAAGACTACCAGGTCTAGACAAGAAACAAGAAGTTCGGGAGAGGAGGAAGGGATGGTGGATTGGGGGGGGGCGGTTAGTTGCGGGATGGGATGGGACGGACATTTCGTTTGTGTGTTGTGTTGTGTCGTGTTGTTGCTAATATTGGAGATGAGGATGTGCCTGTGTATGTGTGCCTGAGACGGGAATGATTGTTTCATGTGATGTCTTTATTCGTGTTGTGTTTCGGGATTGGGTTGGTTCCTTGGTTGAGGATATGAGAGATGACAACCAATGGGTGGTAGTAGGTATCTACTAGGTGAGTGATGATGGATGAGATTTGCTTCTGGCCTACTGAGTACTACTGGTGTGGTAGATACTTTTCCCGGTTATCCAAGGAGAAAGGAGATGAGGATGGGAATGGGATACACACTACGTAGGTATGGAGGGTGGGAAAACGCCTCTGACGGAATCGAGACTGCTGAGGGGAATGAAGAAGATGGAGAGCATTCCCGTTCAGCAACCAATCATGCCATTTTGGTGCGACTCGGTAATTGAAGGTGGTACAGCAACGCTCCACACAAGCAGAAATGCGAAGAGGGTCTAGACTGGCTACATCATCGTCATACACTGACGGGAAATGGAGAAATTGTGAAACGAGAGTCGCTCTTTGTCACCGCCAAGGCAAAATCGAATCGTTGACATGACGGCTCGGCTAATTGTCGATCCCGCGCCGGATGATCTCCAGCATTTCCTCGCCCTTTGGCGCCGTCGTCAGATTCTCATACCCTGTCCGAGTGACCAGGATGTCGTCTTCTATCCGCACGCCACCAATGGGAATGTATTTCTCGGCCTCCTCAAAGTTGATGTACTGCGCCTGAGGCAGTTTCCGGGTATTTGCCAGAGCCAGCTTGGAGAAGTAAACACCTGGCTCGATGGTGACCACCATGCCCTCCTCGAGCAAGGGGACTGACTGGCTCATGGCTGGGATGAAGTCAGGTCTGCAAGGTCTGTTAGGCAGCCCCATGCCCGTGATTGGCTTCTCGGACACGTCGTGGACTTCCAGTCCAACGTGATGGCCCAATCCGTGAGGAAAGAAAATGGCCGACGCCCCCGACACGCGAATCTCCTCCACGGTGCCCGGTTTGAGGACACCTAGCTTCTGCAAGCCCTTAATGGCTATGTCGTGGGCAAGCACCTGCAAGTCGCGGAACCGCACACCTGGCTTAATGCGCTTGATACACTGCTCCTGCATCTCTTCTACGATTTGGTAGACGTCGCGGGCATATGAACTGGGCCAATCGGCGGCCAAAGGAAAGGTGCGGGTCACGTCACTTGCGTAGCACTCCCACTCTGCACCTGCGTCCAGACAGACCAGCTGTCGTCCTTTGAGGGGCTCGTTGTTCTTCACATAGTGGAGGGTGGCTGCGTTGGGTCCCGAACCAGCAATGATTTCGTATGCTTGGTTCTTCGCTCCGTGCGACACGCAGGTGTCGAGGAAGAGGCCTTCGATCTGGGCTTCATTGGACATCTTGTGGATTTTCTCGAGCACTTTGCGATGGGCCAACCCGGATATCTTGTTGGCGTGGCGGATCATACGAAGCTCATAATCATCTTTAACCACCCGCGCGGCATCCATTGCGGGCAGCAAGCGCTGATCATCTAGATTCAGCTGCCGGAAAATGAATTGGGGCTGCTGAGAGCTATGAAGGATGTAGACTGGAGCGGCATGATTGTATTTCTCTACCCACGACTGAATATCGCTCTGTAGGGAAGCATAGTAGCGCACTTTGTCTACGTCAAACCGCCGTTCAGCCTCGTCTGTGGTCAACGTGGGCCCCATCCATATTGCGCGGTGCAGGTCAAAGTCCGGAACATAGAGAACCAGTAAGTCATTGTTGATGTCGTAGGTAAGAAAGCAGTCTGGCTCATCGGCTCCACTAAGATAGTAGAAGTACCGTCGCTGTCGAAAGGGTTGTGGTTGGTCGGAATCGCCCCAATTGATGGTTGGTTTCCCAACCAGGTAGATAAGGCCGCTGGACACTCCCAGCTTCATTGCAACTTTGCGCGCATGTTGTTTGGCTGCGCCGAGACTCCCTGTCAGTCTTCGGACGTCCCAGGATTAACGCAGGAGGAGAATGATAAGGCGAGGGAGGAGAAGAGTATATATCTTGGGGTCACAACATGAGACATACCTGGATACTTATCGATCCCTTCGCCGCGCACCGTTACGCTGATATCGCAGGCACCAAGGTTGGAGACAAGCTCCGGCGGGATTGAAACACGCATCCTGTTGCTTACCACGGTCTACAGGCAGAAAGGGGAAGGGAGGACCTATACAGACAGGCCTGTCACAGAGGTGAGGGACCCGAATGAAGGCACAGGAAGGGAGATAGAGGGACTGGAGGAGATAAGACAGCGCTTAGAAAGCGAGAGGAGGGAGAGAGAGGGAGAGGAATGACAGCCAGCGATAGCGTGTCTCTCTATCGGGTTTAGACAGGGTCTCCGGCGGAGTCAATCGGTCTTGTATTGTTACAACCCTGGAACAGCTAAAATACCAGCAATATGGTGTGACTGATGGCCTGGCCAGACTGTCCATACAGTATCTTACAGACAAGAGATACGTCTAAAAATGTGAGATGATTGAAGAGTGACGGATGATTAAGTTCCCTGATCAGGCATCCAAAGGGACTCTTGGAGTGTGCCTCATCCCTTTTCCCTGGACTGCTTGGGACCTTGCATGGACAGTTATTTGGAGGGGACAACTTAGTTGGCCAGCAGACATATGTAGGAGTGTATTTGATCTCAAACGTGGCCCATCTAATTTCTGTATCTCCTTCAGGAGTTCACAATATGCCTTGAGTGCTGTCATCCGGAAGCATCGAGCGCATCGCCCGAAAGCGTCGCTGCCTTTTCGCCCCCCACATGCGCCTCTCTCTCTCTCAGTCTCTCTCTCGACCTGGGCTTCTGCTTCTGGTTTCTTGGTCCCGACCTCCAACTCTCCCCGTTTTGAAACTCCCTCATCATCGCTCCTCATCTCTTTCCCACTCCTCTGCGACTTTCCCATCTCTCATTCCTTCCCTTCCCCTACGCCTTTCATCTACCCGCTATTTCCCTAGCGTCGCTTTCCCTCCTTATCTCATAACATTCAGCTTAGCGTTACCATCTCTCCGCCAGCGAGTCCGTATCGACGCAACATCTCCAACCAGTCAATGAACGATGCGGGGATCTGAGGCATCGGGGCCCGGTGCTCTCTTTGATGCTCCCTCGACTCTTGCCACGTCCCTTGGAATCAATCCCACCGCTGCTCTTGAACCCCCTCCGACCGATCCCAAATTAGTCGCCTCCAACATCGAGCAAGTCTTGTTGTCCATGTCAGAAGGCAATGGCGGTCTAGTTAGCGTCAATGGCAACTCGTCGGGTTCTACCGGCAAGGGTATCCTGATAGGCGTCCTCTCTGCCTTTGGGTCCGCTGCCGTTGCAGTGCTTGTACTCGCTGTCTTCTTTTTCTTCAAATACACTCAGCGTGGTAGAATCATTCTCGATCGCATCGGCCGACCGGGTGAATTCGACGATGGACAAGCGTTTGCGCGCGAGGAGGCGGAAGCCTTGGAGACGATGGATGATCTCACGCGATCGGAGTATATGAGAGCTAAGGGTAAGTCACCGGCTCTTTGTCCATTCTCTTGGGCGAACGACGACCATGGGGTCTTGTCAAGCATGACGTATGTGCATTTGTCACTAATACAACTACAGCCTTCATCGAAGCCAATCCGCCCGAGTCCGTACAAACCGACATATCGCTCTCTCAATTCCTCGCGATACAAGAAAAAGGAGTATCGGCTTGGGAATTCCAACCAGAGCTGGAAATTGCCAATTGCTTTGTCGAAGGCCGTACGGAAATCGAGTTCTACGACTCGGAATGCAGCGTCCAGACCAATTTGCCTGTTCCGAAACAAAACGACGTCTATTACTGGGAGGCTAAGATCTACGACAAACCTGATAATACTCTTATCAGTATTGGGATGACTACGAAACCGTACCCCTTGTTCAAATTACCAGGTGCGTCTTTGGGTGTCTCGTTGGGGGGAGATACTGGTCATCCGACGGTCGCTAATTTGTTGCTTATGATGTCAGGCTTCCACAAGACTTCGGTCGCATACCAGTCCACGGGTCATAGGAGGCACAACCAGCCGTTTGCACCAACGCCATATGGTCCTCACCTTCTGCAAGGTGATGTGATCGGCGTAGGGTATCGACCTCGCTCGGGTACAATCTTCTTCACTCGCAATGGCAAGAAGCTGGAGGACGTCGTTCACGGTCATAAAGCGCAAAACTTCTTCCCCACTGTTGGAGCCAATGGGCCTTGCTCTGTCCATGTGAACTTCGGTCAGATGGGTTTCGTGTTCATCGAGGCCAACGTCAAGAAATGGGGTCTGGCCCCTATGACTGGTAGCCTGGCTCCGCCTCCGCCTTACGGCAGCGAGCAAGGCAGTATCCTACTAGAGTCGGGTCGGGAGAGTGCAGCTCAGATTTCCCAACGGGTCTACCAGGATGCCAATAATGCACGCACCAGTTCGACTGTTCGTGTTGCGCCATCTGCCAGTCCCGGCCCTGTGCGGTCACCCACCGACATTTCCTTGGCTCAGCTTGCCCACATCCCGTCGAATGAGGACGTTGGCGAAGGATCCAGTCGAACCAACGTCGTCGATGGTGAGCAAGTTCCCTTGTTGCATACAGACGATCTCGACCAAGTCCCACCTCCCGAGTATTCCAGTCCGGACGGCAGTCGGAGAGGCAGCGAGGACCTGCACTCTGACGAACAGCCTCCGATACCTAGCTACGACGCTGCTGTTGGCAATCGCGACGGTCACGGCACGCATCCCAACGAGACTCCTTGAAAGGCGACCGAGGTCCCGCATATATTGTTATCGTTTATCCATCAGTTATTGGCGCAGCGTCTCTTTGATGTGTATACGGCATGTTTCAGCCACTGGTTCTATTTCTACTACTGTTCCCTGATTTTAGCGGCCACGGTCGGCGTTCCACAGGCGGGATTCTACGGGTTAGGTTTCACGGTTACGCCGCTAGACGTGGCAATGATGAATTTTACGTATATAGGGTCTGGTCGTTTCTGTCTTCATTTGTCATTCGGAACAATTGTCTCGGTTGAGGTCGTGGGCACGTTGCAGGGCCGAATCCCGTAAAGCTCACGTTCCCTTCGAGTTGAGGCGGTTGGCAAGGATCTTCTCGGCCTTGACCGACCGGACGAGAGAACAATGCTGTTCCAAAGATTACCTTGTTTCCTTGCGCAATTCGTGTCAAAAATCGGTGCTATTGAACTGGGTGGATTTATTGCGGTGTTTGTCTGGGAGTACCATTTTTCATGGCTGAACACATACAGTGGCTATTTATATCATTCCTTGTCTGCGCTTCCCTGTATCTTCTTGTGTATGTGTAGCAATCGAGTGGTCATCTGCCTCTTGCCCCGCTGTATAACCAGCGGCAATGAAATATTTTACATCAAGAATATGGGCAATCAGGTAGCACGGCGTAGAATAACCAAGTAAGTAGCCAGTAGATCGTAGTTCGTAGAACCGGTCCATCCATTACCCCATTTCCCCACATGTTCGACCCAATAAATGTTATTCATCATTACTGCTATCTATTTAGCTAGTATTATACTAACTGTATCTATAATTATCCAGTGATATACAGCGCTGGAATTATTTCCGGGAACAAGGCTCTTTCTCAGTCCCTCTGTCGCTCCTTCCGCAACCAGCGCGTCATCGATCAGTGCCAGTCAGTGACTACTCTCTGCTCAACCTCCCTCCCCCAATCTTTCTCTTCCATCATCATGTTCCATCCTTTTTCATCCTCCACATTGCATTTCTCCGTTCGCACGCAAGATATGCATCTCCAAATACCCACTAGACGACGTCCACCGGCACTGCATCGCACGATTATCTTCGTCCTTGATCTTCCATAGGCTGATTCGACTGACTTTGCTGGTTATCTTCTCTTAAATGCATATGATAGAGTTTCTGTTCCTCCCTTGTCCCTTGGCTGGTCCTCGTACTGCAATGGCTCACCTTCCCTGCTGCTTTTCTCGGTCGGACATTGCCTCCCATTAACCTTATCTTCTCCAAGTTGAATCACTCAGCAGTTTTGAAGCAACAACAGTCACCAATATATTGACTTCACACGAGTCATTCGTATAACAGTTACTTCTCTCACTTTAAACAATACCTCTTATCACTCATTGGCTCCTAAACAAGCTCGCTCAATTTTGCTTTTGCCGCCAACGGTGATTTCCGACTTCCCCTCCAGCCACTGAATCATCTGTTCAGCCCCGGCCGTTAGCGTGCTGCAGGTGCCCAGTGGCGAGCGAGTGACCGCCAACAACTGGTGCGCTAACTGGCCTGGTGCGACGCAGTTTTGCCCCAGATTCACGGGGAAGTGCCGCCCCCAACAGTGGGCGCGCTGGGGGTTTGGCAACCTTTTGTCGCATAGACCTGGCTGCCAGCCTGACCGCTATCTAGGTTGAAAAGCATCACGCAGCTCTCCAAGAAGAACGGGGAAAGTTTCTTCACCTCATCCTCACCACACCTGTCGACCTGACGTACACTAAATCGAGGAAGTTACAGCCGCCCACAGCCACATCTGCACAATCAAGCGAGGGTGGTGTGCATTCAATATCTGCGCTCAGCCGCCCTAGGTGGAGTATATGCATTTTGGCCCTTGCTTATTCTCCGACCAGATACGCAGTGCAACAACGGCGATAGTTTCCAGTTTGTGGGAACTGCTTTATAGCTTCATTCCGATAAAAAGCGTAAGGATCGCCTGGCCCAGATCCTTGGGGGTATCCACACAAGGTCCGGCCGCTACCCCAAGTGGTTCTCTGAAAAAGGGCTAGAGTTCGTCCGGAAGGGCTATTTTACTGGGAGTCCAACACATCCCATCGATTGCTGGTTCAATTGATGCCCTGGCGACTTTTGCCTTGAGCCATCTTCACACTCAAAATGCAAGAGTCTGAATTGCCTTTTGTAGGCGCAAACCCTGCAGAAGCAGCTGGCCAAGGAGATGGACCTGGTCCTCCAAGTCTGCAGATAATCGTGCTGGTAAGTTTTGTCTCACATGCTGTGTTTGCCAGTCCCGTGTGGTCATGACGTTGTTCTTTACACATGACTTCGAACCCTGAAAGTCTGCCTACTGGCGAGTCCGATCACTAGCATCGATGCGCCATGTCTCAAAATTCTCCCCGCGCCATGTTCTCGAACTCCCACTACTCCTCAAACCGTTTCATCGCTGGCGAGTTTCGCATTCAAGATCGACCACTAACGCTTCCCTTGAAAGGGTCCGACAGGAGGTCCCCGTGAGGATAGAGTCACTGGACTTTTGGTCCGATCCACATCCACCAAATGGTCCGCAAACTCGATAGTAGCTGTTGATGCGGGCACCCTTCTATGTGGCATCATCGACACTTTGGAACCATGTGATAATAACCAAAAGTCGTCGGATCAGGGGCCATTTGCTGGGCTCGAACTGCCTCATAACAATGTACCAGCAAATGCAGCCCATGTTTTCCGGCATATTATCGGCGCTGTCTGCATCACACATCCTCATCTAGACCACCTGTCGGCGTTTGCCATCAACACTCCAGTTCTGGAGGCTGGAAGTGGCGCGAAAACGTTGGCCGCCCTGCCTTCGGTGGTTGCTGCCATCAAGACTCACGTGTTTAACGATGTGATTTGGCCAAACCTCTCTGATGAGGATGGCGGTGCTGGCCTTGTTACCTACCAGCGACTAATGGAGGGCGGAAACCCCATGATGGGGCGTGGTGATGAAAAAGGCTATACGCGAGTCTGCGAGGGCTTGTTGGCAAAATGCCTGGCTATCAGTCACGGGTGTTGCAGGCAGAGATCTAGCGTCGACAATGACATTCAACGCCGGATGAGCAGCGCCCCTTTTGGTGTTGACCCAATGAGGTTGAACCCAAGGGCCTATTCCATGTCATTCGACGAGCCAGAGACCGGCTACTTTTCCGGAGCACGTTCGCCAGGCTATCGCGTACCCGGCAAGGATGGCTGGGCCACCGTGGAGTCGTCAGCTTTCTTCATCCGTGAGCCTACGACAAAGCGAGAAGTGATCATCTTCGGCGACGTTGAACCTGACTCGATCTCAATGAATCCGCGCAACAGACGCGTGTGGGAAGCAGCAGCACCGAAGATCGTTGCCTCTCAACTGCGAGCGATCTTCATTGAATGCTCCTATAACGATGATGTTGACGACGCCTCCTTATACGGCCATTTGTGCCCACGTCACTTGATCGATGAATTGATTGTATTGGCACAGAAGGTTACAGAATTGAAATACCCAGATTCATTTTCGATAAGAAAACGCAAACGTGCGAGTGCCCCCGAGGCAGCTGGCGATCCAGCTCTCAGTCCCAAGTCAAAGAAGGCTGCTCTCGCTGGCGAGAAAAGTGGAGGAGGCTCTCGTCGGGGATCGGCCAGGACGTCACGTCGCCATACGCGTGCCAGAGTTGCTGTAGAAGACATTGACGAAAATATGGAAGGAAGCCCAGCCGTTTCCCACGCTCCGAGTGAAGTTGGTATGGATGTATCGCTGGCAGAAAGTTCAGACCCTCTCACGGTGCTCCAGTGGCCAGAACCACCTCTGACCGGACTACTGGTCTATATTATACATATTAAGGACGATATGAATGATGGCCCACCTCCTCAGGAGCGGATCCTGCAAGAACTCAAAGCCCAGGGACAAGCTGCCGGACTAGGATGCGAATTTCGAGTCCCCACACGTGGCGAGAGCGTCTTGATCTGATGTCGGTTACCGCAAGTCCAGCATGGCTTGTCTACCTTGCACCGAACATGTCCGGTGCTCCTTGCTTCTTGTGACACCGAACCATGCAATAGAGGGGAACATATCAACGGGCTATATCTATACATGACTGTGGACCCTGCCATATGAATCCAGTTCCTATCTGGGGGCCTTGTCTGCAATGATGATCCTTGTGCATCTTCCTCTTACTTTTCCATTCCTATATGTTCTATCCTACTTCTCTTGTTCTATCTTTTGGCGCGGCTTTTGTGAGCAGATTTATCTCTCGTTTACCCTTTTGCTATTGCATCATGTGATTTAGCAGATACCACCGGTGCAATCGAACATTTTGTCATTAGAATCAGAATTATTAACTCCTGGTCACTATGGCATGGCTATTTAGAGTGACCACAAGACAGTCATAAGCACCGTAACAAAGTACCAGTAAATAATCCCGGAAACAACCACCAACTCATATCCTAAGAGCTCATCTCCTCTCCAGCCTTAGCAATAACATCCTCCCAAGCGGCCCCCTCCCCCCTCGGAACCTTCAACCCCGTGCTCTCCTCACCCTCACCCTCACCACCATCAGCAGCAGCAGCAACCCCACCCAAAACACCCTCCCCATCCCTCGCAAACTCAATCAACTCCTCCTCACTCCCCCACTCCCCCATAGCCATAACGCCCACCGGCACCCTCCTTCCACCATCCACCACATCATACCCAGCCGGACAACTAATCGCCGGACAGCCCGAGAAATTCGCCAACCAGACATACTCCATATTCCTGACCGTAGAATTCCCATCCGACACTCCACGCTTCAGATCCGCTTCGCCGCCCGCAATCTTCCACCCCGGGATCGGCGTCGTCGGCGTGACGATCATCAAGCCAGGGTGTTTCTGGAACAAGTGAGCCAGATGTGTCATGAGGCAGTTACGGAGACGTTGCGCCGCTAGGAAATCCTGGCCTTTGATTTGCCACATGCCCATTGAAGCCATTACTTTGTTGGCGGGCGTGAGGTGCGAGATCTGGGATGGGGTGAGGGATGAGGTTACTTCCGAGAGGATGGTGAGAGCGTGCGCTTTTTGACCTTCGGGGAGGTAGGGGATTGTGATGTCGATTATCGTGTAGTTCTTGAGCTTGCGGTAATGGTCGAGGGTCGCGTTGAAGATGGCGAGGACTTCCGGGGAGGCGCGGTCGATCCAGGGACGGAAGATGCCGATGGTTTTCGGGGTGTTGCTGCTGTTGTTGTTTGGGGTGGAGGAGAGGGTGCGGAGTGGTGAGGGGAAGGATGCTGAGATGGGGTCTGAGGATTCTGGGGCTGGCGTGGCCATGAGTCGATAGGCGAGGGCTAGGTCGTCGATGTTGGAGGCTAGGGGCCCGTAGACGCCTGTGGTGGATGCCAGTGAGATGGTTGGAGAGCCGCTCACGCGGCCGTGGGTGGTCTTCAGTCCCCAGATGCCGCAGAAGGAGGCCGGGATGCGGATTGAGCCTCCGCCGTCGGCGCCTAGGGCGATGGGGACTAGGCCTGCGCTGACGGCGTAGCCGGAGCCACCGGAGGAGCCGCCGCAGTAGTAGTCGGGGTTATGAGGGTTTCTGGGGGTGCCGAAGTTGGGGTTGTTGTTGGTGGTGTCTGGGGTGTGAAGATGGTGGTTAGTTGGTTTAGGAAGCTCAGATGAGGTATGTTGGGAACTGCACTACTCACCAAGACCCAACTCGTGCATGGTGGTCTTGCCAATGACTATGGCACCGGCGTCCTCCCATTGCTTCACACACCAGGAGGTGCCCGTGAACTCGCCGGTGAAGTCGAGCTTGCTGCCCAGGGTTCGTCGGTATCCTTCCATATGTACTTCGTCCTTGATTGCGACGGGGATGCCATCCATTGGGCCCAGTGTCTTGCCATCTTTGTACCGCTGTGTAGAGGCTTCTGCTGCGGCGCGAATCTTGTCGACTTGCGAGTCTAGAAAGGCGATCGAGTGCTTGCCGGGTGGTTTGGCATCGCGGCGGATCAGGGGCAGTAGGGTCTCGACGACGGCAAGGGGAGTCAGTTCGCCCGAAGTGTAGCGAGCGATATAGTCGGCAGAAGTGTAGTAGCCTGCATTGCTTTGTCGCTTTGGCGTGGGAACTGGCAGGTCGGCAGCGGGAGCATTGGGGTTAGCGACGGGAATCACGGTCGGATCATACCGGGCGGAGTATTGGTCGAGGGGGAGGTTGCGGATGACATCGAAGCCAGTGGTCCCCCAGAGATAGCTCTGGATGAAGCCAATGTTCTGGATACTAGAGAGGGGAGATGTTTAAGCAGTTGTGGCTGAGAGGGAAGATGATGAGAAAGGAAGACATACAGACTGGCGCCGATGGCCAAGGGAAGGCCGCGGATGACGGGGATCACCTGCTCCTCATTCCTGTACGGCACGGTGGGGCCCGGCCGGGCCTCTGGATAGTGGATGAATGGAGCTTTCTCACCCATGATGCGATCAGGAAGTGTCGGTGAGAGTGGAGGGAAAAGAAAGAAAGAATTTACGGGGAGAACTTCCTTTCTTTTTCCTCCAGCTTGATCGCCAAGCCAACCGGCCAGCCGTCACTAAGCTAAGCTCAGCTCCCGAACCCAAACAGCTGCTTATTTACTGGACCCCGGATTTCGGTCCGCATCTCGACCAGAAGTAGTTGGTGGCCACGGTCTCTATACACAGTATTCTTCATTATAATCTGATTATTTCCCCCCTCCTTCTGGAGAGAGGTGTTATGTCTTTGCCCATCTTGTATTTCAAATTGCCAACTTGATGTTGGCCCGATCCAATCCTAGTGCCACGCCTGTGAGCGCCGCGGCGTATGCGATGAGGATTGCCATCGCCTGGGCCGTACTGACATCCAGTGTCGGGACGCTCAGGTTGACAGCCCCGGTGAGCAAGTTGGCAACCAGGAAGATAGCCAGTCCGCCGCGATTGAATGCCTTCAAAATCCGGCTTGTCGCAAAAGACACCCGATCGGCCTCACCGTCCTTCCCGGATGCCCGATGTACCGATGGGAAGAAAATTGTCTCCAGGAGACAGAAAAGAAACAGTTGAGCATTGTTAAAGGCAGATACCCAAACGACATACGGCATGTTAGCAAGTCGGCGCGAGACCGGAATGTTGGCGCCGTGGCCTAGTGCATAGGTAGAATTCAGAATGAAGATCGCAGACCAGGCGAGCGCTTGGACGCCCAGGGTCACCAGCACGCCTCTTCTCGCCTGCTGGGGAGACCGTTGGGTAGTGGTGCCGCGAGGAATGATCCGAATGCCAGTGGCACGGCCTGCCAGGAAAATCGCAAAGTATCCCAGGAACGAAAACACTCCTTCCCGGTTTTTGGAGAGCAAACTTGGACCGCGAGGGGAAACAAGAATATAGCTCTTCAGTTCGGTCGATTCCAAAGCGACTTGATACAACACAGCAACTGCCAGCGAAAGGGCTTCATAGGAGGGAACAATGTCAGCCAGGCTGTCAAAGAGTTCCATGAAGGGTGGCAAAAGACCCAGGGTGAAAAAGAAGTTCCAATGCACGCCATACTCCGTCACATGCTCCGCATAGTCCAGCCCCTTCACGCTGTACAGCCTGACCAAACCCAGGATAAGTAGAGGGACCGAGTGCCGCGTGGAAGCTATCAGCCGCTGGCATACCGGAGTCTTCCGAGCGCCATTGCTTCGGCCCTTAAGCACAGAGCGAGCAGATACTACCCCGCCTGAGAAGACGAAAGATCCCACACCCATATCCATGAGTGACGTGCCCCAATTTTCCACCTTTGCAAATCGCCGTGGAAACGCCTGGAAGTCCACCGCCAAGATGGCTACACAGGTAATGATCATCATGGCTGCACGATATGTTGTCAGAAATGGGTGGATTGGTAAGGATTCGGGCATGTCCGCTGCATTCTTATCGCTTTGGGTCGGTTTCGGGGGAGGTTTAGTCTTTTGCTGGCTGCGGGGAGGTCTTGAGTTGAGAAACAGCAGGAGGGCGGGGGCGATCAGCAGGACGTTCAGCGTCCATGGCGCAGAGGAGTAGACAGTCGTGGCAAACAGAATGGCCAGTACATTGAGCAGAAAGTCGGTCACCAGTGCTGCTGAGCTGTAAGGAGTGAAGAAGGAAAGGCGTGATTGTAGCGCTGACCATAAGAGAGCAGCGGCCTAGACCAATCCCGTAAAGAGTCAGCTACCACTGCCTGGAGGGTGTGACGTATCCCAGGCCATCACTTCTGGATGGGTGGGATCGAACAGCTGTCAAGGGGAAGAGAAACGTACAGGTGCGACTAATGTAACAGCATTGATCTCAAGAATGCTGCCACCAGCAAGATCAGACACGAAGGCCTCTTTGCGAGCCTTGTAGCTGGGATCCATAGCTGCTACTGCTACTTGTTCGGACCAGAAGTCCAAAAAGGCCAAAAGACCGATAGAGGAGGGGTAGAAGGAAAAGGAAAACAATCAAATGTGTGCAAAGCTGCAGATAGATTGGAGTTAATCTTGCATTAGAAGCCCTACCCACCGACAGTGAGACGTGGCCGGCGCAAGGTAGGGAGCAGCAAGTCAACAAGTCAGTCAAGTCAAGGCAGAATGCAAGCAAGCAAAGTGAGAAATGCGATGACGCGCGAACACAACAATCTGGCCGCTTTTAGTCTGGAGGACCTCAGGCCAGCAACTTCCCTCATTGGGGTTAGGCCGTACGGGAGGCACTTGTGTGCCTGGAAAGAGGAATACCGAGTATGGTAATCTGGTTACAGATCCATACAGATCCGTACATCCTCCCCGCCTTTCTGATTCAAACCGTCCAAAAACCGATTCTCATTTTCCCGCTTGCTTGTCGTGCTTGAGTCTGTCTGCCTCGTCGACTTCTCACCTTTTTCCATGGTCTTCTTTCCCTCCCTCTCAGCAAATCATCCTCTGCCATCTTTCCTGCCTGGGAATTATATTTCCGACTTATCAATCAATCACCGTGTCTCTGATTCAGACAAAGTGGTGACTAACCATATATCCACTGTTCTCCATCTCATTGTCCATCCCAATTACATTGCCTAAAGTGCCATACAGAATGGGCTCATATGCCTGAGTGCTCAGGAGTCTGAGACATGGAGACAGAAAAAGAAAGCAATCTGCTGCTTAATCTGCATTCACAGGGTCCGTTTGTGATGGATCCCATGCTGGGGATGCAAGAAGAGGAAAACAAAGGTCAGAAAAATCGAATGCCAGCCAAGAGCTGTATCGAATTATCGTGCTTATGTGCGACAGACCGATCATGACTGTGGCGTACGAGGTTTTCATTGGCAACTGATTACAGCCTACCACCTGCCAGGCTGCCATTGCTGGAGCCTCCACAATATTTCCGATCTACATTCTCTGGGGGCCCAACCAGCTGCTAGCAAGGGGGCGTACCGGGTTTCACCCACGGAGCTTGCTAAGCATGATGGGGGGCACTAACTAACAACTACCATACCACTAGATGCTTATACTATACTCCTACTGGAGCAGGGATGAGAAGGTGAGCCCCGGGGGGGACGGAGGTTCTCCGTGTCCCCCCTGGTAGGACAACCACGCAGGAAACTGCTTTAGGCTATGTGTCGTTGTTTCGAGCTAAGGACCGGTTGGGTCAGCCCCGGTTTAGCTCACAAGATATGCTGTGCCGCTTACTACATAATACTGAGTTTATGGTGCTTGCGTTGACATGAACGACGAACGGACGACTAATAAAAAACCATGGAACGCATCCACCACAGACCAATCAATCAGAGGGAAATGAATGATCACCAGCGAGTTTCAGTAAAGTACACGGCCGTCTCCCGTGCGGATGCAGCCTGGGACAATGATATGCAGCTATCAGGCCCACCGACCGGCTTTAGTACGGCTTTACCTTAGGAAATTTATTTTTTAGGGCCATTCGGCCGACGACCGGTATGTTGGCCTTCCGTGTCTGGGGTACATTGACACTACGAACAAGCTCCAGCGCATTGGATTATTTTGTCCTGTCTTGTGCCTTGAACTGATTCTTGCTGAGACAATTTATTGTGGTCAATGATATATGAGCCTATGTTCTCTCATCCCTGCAAAGACGAGTTTTTAGGAAATGAGGCTGAGCAACAGGAAAAGCAAAAAAAGGGAAGAGCAGCAAAAGCGAGGGAGGGAAAAAAATCAGAAGTGGGATCTAGACTCCATTTGAACCTTTAGGATTAAAACCGACTAACCTGAGAAGGCAGGCACAATGTGCGTCATGCATTCACGTTCAGCCAGCCATTTCTCTCAAGGCCTTCTCATGGTGGTGCTCCCTTTTCCTTCCCTCCCGTCGGATTTTGCCGTTTAGACTCGGGCACATTGCCCACTCCGTCCCTCCCGTGGTGATAATTCTGAAGAGGGTATTTGGGAGCCGTCGGTTTCGATGTTCTACGGGGCTTCTTTCGCCGGGCGTCTCCCGACACGAGTCCTATCCGGCAGTCGATTGGTTCTGATTACTCAGAAGGGCTTTTCTGGACCAACCTTTCGCTTGGCGCAGCAAATCGTAGTTGGTTTTGATGGAGGACCTGAGTGTGGACCCGATCTACTCCTCCTCGTGGCGAGCACAACCCCAGTGTTACCATGGTTCCGCCTGAACCCAAAGGGGCTGTTTGCCTAGTATTTACTCCCTTCCCAAGGCTCCGCCCTTAAGGAGTCCGATAGGAACATCCATTTCACAAACCTATTCGGGTAAATCCAGGAGGTGTCTGCAATCGCTGGTACGAACAGGCGGCAAGACGTCATTTGCTCAACCATGGGTGAGCCCTTCCAACAGAGACACTCATGGGGTCAGGAGTGACTGTCTTGTCCACATCTGATAGCCTGGCAGATCCTGAAATCTGAGATTCGGGATCCTGGAACCGCTGGGGATCGTGCATACCAATGCAAAACCCGCAGATCGCTGGGAAAATGGTGGTCAGCCACCGTCGTACTTTGTCGGTAGTCTGAACAGCCAAAACCCACACCTATGGTCAGCTCCGCTTGGTCTCTGGACGTTCTAACCCTTATGGACAAAGTTGGTCGCTCTCGGTGTTCCCCCGTCCCGCCTGCACTGCAGCGGCCCTCCAACTGCCAGTTTCTGACTGTCGGTCAGTCGGTTTACCCTCAACTTGATCTCTGTTTTGGGCTTAAGCCCCGGCATGGTGCCAAGGATTACTCTCTCCTGAGGTTGAACGAACGCCATGAAGCTTCTGTATGTGCCCCAGGGCGGCGTCGGTCGCCCATGGTTCTCATCTTCGTTTTAAGTTTGTACTTTTTTTTCCCTCTCCATTTCCATTTCCACATTCTCTTTTTGGGGTTTGCTTTTTTTTTTTCTGTTCGTTCGCTTAATGAAATATTGAACCCGCTACTGAATCGGGTCTGCCATGTGGCCCGGAAGGACTAAGATCCACCGGATGGTCAATACTACTACTAAATGCCGTACAATAGATGCTACTCCAGATGCAGATTTCGTGCTGGACATGCTCTAGGACAGGAGATGGACAGCAACAACGTGCCAATTTGTCTCTGCTCTTTCGGGGCAACCGGCATAACGGCGTCGGTACTTGACTGGTGTACGCTGCCGCCACGCAACCAGGCCAACCCGTCTAGGGTGCTGAGGGGACCCCCCCAAGTTGCGAATTAGAGCGTGCTTGTAGGTCGGGAGGGTCGGAAGGTGCTCATAGCGCTGCGCCGCTGACCCATCGTAAGAGCTACCTGAAGAAAAGCACTGCACCAAAGCCGTGTGTGCTTCCCCCCTCCCCCTCCCCCTTCCTTCATGGGATTGGGCTGCTCGAGGGATCTGCTCATTGGCGCGTCTTCGGGCCCCAAGCCAACGGTTGGTAACGAAAGTGTACGGTTTATTACTTACTTTACTGGTTTTACTGCTGATAACTAAGGAAGTTGGGGAGCTGGAGACTCCAAGCTGTCTGAGGCAGAGACAGGGACGATCTGGAGACAAAGCCAGGACTAGATCCTCCCAGGCCATACGTGCCTAATAATTGCCTGCACCAGTCAGAGTCTGTCTGAGCTGGAATGGGTCCTAGCAGCCATGCCCAAAAAGGGCAGTTCCCTGATTCTTTTTCGTTCAAACGCTCAACAAAGATTATTCCACCACCAACCCCTACTAAGTAACTACTGTCTACCTACGTATCTACCCGCCCACCTTGTTCCTATCAGACGGCCTCTGTCCGTCCCCTTGGGTATATATATACCTAGTTTAGCGCGACCCACGCACTTGGAACCGCTATAGTCGCATCTTGAGAGGCGGGCTCAAGTACCTTTAGCGGTCTACACACCTGTCTGGGATGCATCACGTTGCCTATACAAATCACACCTATCACCTGCAATAAACCCTCTTCTGCTCTTCTTCTCACATCATCACCCACCTGAATACGATTTGATGAGCAGGATGAGCCCTACTCCAGAACCTCCCACGGCCAAAAAGCGCGAGTCCCGTGCTGGGGCGCGTAAAGTGACGTCGCTCTCTGCCGAACAGCTGGAGAGGAAGCGCGCCAACGATCGGGAAGCCCAAAGAACCATTCGTCAGCGGACCAAGGAGCACATTGAACGACTGGAGCACCAAGTGGCCGAGTTGAAAGCCAAGGGGGAACAATTTGACGATGTCGTCCGACGGAATGTGGCGTTGGAACATGAAATTCGAGCTTTGAAGCATCAGCTCGCTCTGGCTGGTAGGCAAGGATATCCGGGTATGGGTAGGTGGCCGGTCTCGTTCATTTATTTCAGCTACAGAAAGAACTTGAAATGGCTGACAGATATCCATTGCGCATCAACAGAAGGAACTTATAGCAATGCTCCCGGGTCTATGCTCCCGGCCGCGCAGTTTGCAGAGCCTCTGGGGATGAATCCAGCTTCTAGAGCCCCCTCAGTCATCTCCACGTCCAGTCGCGTCTCGGTAGGGTCGGAATGGCCACCTTATGGCACAAACCGGTCACCTTCAACATGCGAATCGAGCGAGGCGAATTATGGGAACCGGGCTGAACCGTACCTGTTCGAAAATCAACTTCAGCCGGCGAGCGCCATGTCTGTCGCGCCACCGCAGGTTAGCTACAGCGCGCCTGTCGGTGCTCAACCAGACCCGACATTTCAATCGTATGCACAGGCATATCACACCGGGAACGCCACTCGTGGACCAGTAGATGACCTAGCACCCCATCCTCCACAACCAGTTCATTACGTGCCTGGACAGCGGCCGATGTCAGTACCGACAATACCCACAGAAAGACCGGCAGGATATTCTCTCGTGCATGCGCCCCAGCCATATCACCAACATACGCTTCCACCTCAGACACGGAATGACTACAGCTATGCCTGGAACCCGCATCAGTCGTGAGACGCTGGACGAGCAAGTGGGTCTCTCACGAAAGGAAAGAGGTTCTTGCAAGAGGCCAAGGCAATCGCGGTCGTTGCCTGGAGGCTCAGCAAGCTATCAGATGATGGTTACGATCAATACTCTCCGACTCAACGCACGGGGAGGACCTGGTATCTGGGACGCGAAACACTGCTGCGTGCAACTACGCAAAACGACACAAACACACACTTTCGGGCTGGTCATATTACACAGGGCTATCTCCAACTTGTCTGCATAAACTTGTGATGAAGGCGCTTCATTGGATCCGGAAATTGGCTTGCCTCTTGCCTGGCGTCCACCAAAGAAAAAAAATTCCCAGGGGTCCGGTTATCTCGGTGACACTGGCGGTCACCACACCGTATCGTGGAACAGGGCAGATCTGACCCGTTCAGTCCCAGCTCCAGCTCTCCCGACGACCCGCCCCAGCAGAAACAAATCCGTGATTTTCGGCCCGCGAACACGACGAGATTTGCCGGCGGGAGATGATGGAACGGCAACTCCACGTTTTCCTCATGATTCGCTTGGATAGAGAGGGGGAGGGGGATGCAGAGGAATCAGATTACATGATTCAATGGTAGACTGATTAGTCAATAGTATCTAGATTGAGAGAGAAAAGAAAGAAAGAAGAGAAAGAAAGTCGATAACCGAGATGCTACGAATCCACATGGTCGGTTTCAGATTCAACCAGAAAACCACAATATGATCGATCATTTTCATCATCGTAAACATCATCAGAGCCCCAGAATGACCCAGTGTATACTGGCCCCCCTTTTTTCCTCTTCATGGAATGTATCTTGTAAAAATTTTACTTTTTTCCAGAACCATCTGCGTACCACACTTTCCATCCGATTAGCAAATCTTCCATTTATTTTTTCCCCAGCCGGCCCGCCGCCCACCGGCTCGTCTACCGGATTTCCTTCTTTCTACAAGGCCCATCCATACTTTACTCGAAGTAGACAAAAGAAATCAACCCCAGCTACTACTATCCACCTACCCTTTAACGATGATTCGAGCTCGGCAGAGTAAGCGTTTAAATCCAAAACTAGCACAGAAAAGAATAACACAGAAGAAGAAAAAAAGAGGATCAAACCGGGGAGATCGGATCCAGAATAACTCCCGAAAACCCTCTTTCTGTATTCTTCTTCCTTCTTTCCTTTCCCTTTCTTGTGTAAGCTTCCGATCGGAACCAGTATACCCAGTACCCAGCTTTTCATTTCTGTCATCGGGGAGGGGGGGGGTTTGTCCTCTCCAACCGAGCCTCCATCAAAACTCTCTGATGATCCTGATTCAATTTCTTGGCTTGGCTCTTGGCCTTGGCTTGCTTGGCTGACTTGGGAAAAGATATGATATATCAAAAGAAGTTAATGCAGGCATATTTCGGTATGATTATTGTACTTTCGGTCGGATCGGTCGGATACCTCTAGTTACTACTTACTATACTAATCATATTTCTTACTCTAAGTTACGGCTGTAGTTGTTGATCGTAACTTTGTTCAACTCAACTCTGGGTCGGATGGAGCCTACTTAGTAGTTAGCACTAGCATTCAGCCTGCCTAGGCTGCAGTAGCCCTTAACATTATTTATCCATCTATGAGTCTATCTAGTCTAAGTATAGTAGATGGTTAAGTCTATTCTGGTTAGTTGATTTAGTTTAGTTGGATGGATGTGGATGGATGTCGGGGAAGGGGGCGCGGGGAATTCGGCGTTTAATTTTATTGGGTTCTGCGCTTCATTATTCATACTGTAGAGTATTATTATTAGTACTGTACTGTTGAGATGGATTATTTTATAAATACGGGATTTCTAACTAGCATAGTAGATGTGCAGTTGGACAAGAAGGTTAAACTACTCGGCCGGTAGGAAAGTACTACTACTTTTTTTTCCCTTAGCAAGGAAGACTACTTACTGTAAGTACTAGGGTTCCCACTAAGACGCTAATCGATGATACCTACCCAAATAGTATTTAGTCTTTCCTGAGGTTTTTCTATTCTCTTGTTTGCCGACGTGGCCAATTATGGAATGGATGGATGTAGTTTCCGGGTATTAATGGTACATAGCGGTAAGAGGGGATGTTTTCTTTTGGGTAACTACATATGTATGAATGTATGTATGTATGTAACTATGTGCTTTGTAAGTAGTGGATCCCCATTTAACATCTGAGATGCATATTCGGATGTCGGATATAAGGATGAGAGGATATTGGAGGAAGGATATATGGATGTATGGTAGTCTGGTAGAGAATGTAATCGGTTCCAGTCCCATGGGTTGGAATTTGAGTTTCTCGGCTAGATCGACACGAGGTTCGTTGATTTTCATACCCTTCTTCGGATGTGAGGGAATTGGGTCATAAAGATACATAAAGTGACATAAGAAGAGGATAAATATGGTATAGTATAGTGTGTCATGTGTATGTATCTAGGATGGATCGGATCTCAATCTATGAAACGGAACCATAAACCGAATGACGGATGATAACATGGAACAAGTGGGGGGAAAAAAGAAGTAAGAAAAAAAGGTATCGTTTCACTTAGCGAGTATACTGCTTCTGTAGCAACTTGGCAATCGTCTGCAATTGAATGTTGCTGGTTCCCTCGTAGATGGCGCCGATCTTGCTATCCCTGAACATCTTCTCGGCGATACCTTCACGCACGAAGCCCATGCCTCCCATCCACTCCACTGCGGCCCCAGCCACGCGGCCAGCAACTTGCGAGGCATACAGCTTCGCCATTGCGGCATCTTGCACGAAGTCTTGTCCCGCTTCCTTCTTGCGTGCCGCGTTGTAGACCAGCGCACGGGCGGCTGCGATCTCAGTGTACGCTTGTGCCACCTGGTGCTGCATGCCCTGGAACTCGCCGATCAGTTGGCCGAATTGGCGTCGATCATTCCAGATGTATCTGCGACACGTGTTAGCAATTGGAAATATCGGCCATGGGATGACTGCTTCAGGTCCCCTCGGAGATACGGGAGTCCCGCGGAGATATGGAGAGGTGGTGTTAGGGGACGCTTACTGCGCAGCATTCTCCCAGGCGCCGAGGGCCAGCCCGGTCATCTGGGCGGCGATACCAATTCGTCCCTCGTTCAGAATGCTGATGGCGTACTTGTATCCCTGGCCCTCTTCACCAAGCAGGTTGCTCTTAGGGATCAGGACATCGTCGAAGTTGAGCACGCAGGTGCTGCTAGCCCGGATGCCTAGCTTCTTTTCCTTCTTCGCAATGGAGAAACCCGGGGTATCTTTCTCCACGATGAAGGCGGTGATACCCTTGTAACCCTTGCTGGGGTCAAGGTTGGCAAAGACAAGGAACACGCCGGATTCCATGGCGTTGGTAATCCACATCTTCGATCCGTTGATCTTGTACCCATCGGCTGTCTTCTCAGCCTTGGTCTGCAAGGCAAACGCGTCCGATCCGGAGGCCGGCTCCGACAGACAGAAAGAGCCGACGGTGCCAGTAGCCAGCTTGGGCAGCCATGTGCGTCTTGCCTGCGCGTCACCGTACTTCATGATAGCGGTGTTGACTAGGGTGTTGTGAACGTCTACAAGAACACTGACACTAGGATCGACGCGAGCAAGCTCCTCAATCGCCACAATCGCCGCCGTGAAGTTCATCCCCGCACCACCGTATTCCTCCGGAATTTCAATGCCCATCAGTCCTTGTTCGAAGAGTTGCTCGACCACGGCAGGGTCCATGGTCTCCGCTTCATCCATGTCTCTGACTTTGGGCGATATTTGCTCCTGAGCAAACTTATTGACGGATTCGGACATTAAGGACTCTGTTTCGGAGAGGAAGGTGATCGGGGTGGGCGTCAGTCCGGACAGGTCGACATCCCGCCGGCGGGAGGTGGTGGAAAACGCATGGGTGCTGCTGGAGGAGGGTGTTAGCAATAGATAACGGCCATCACCGTGTGTATACTGCTATGGTTCTTGTCCTGTGGAAGGGTGATGACGGCCAAAACTCACCTCACAGCTAGCCTGGCCGACAACGGCTGTCTTGCGATAAGGCGGGCGGAGGTAGCAGTGCGCGACAAAGGCCGCAACGCACGGGTGATAGACGCCATAGCGAGATGGAACTGACTGGATTAGCTGGTTATAGTGTGTAACTCGAGGCCACGGCAAGACACGCAAGGGGAAGAGAAAGAGAAGAGGAGGAAAGCAGGTAGTGACGGGGAGAGATCACGAGTGAGGAGCGCAGACGGGCCTCGGTTAAACGCGGCCGAGGGCCGTCGATCAGCCGTCTCCCCGTTTCTCCAGCTCCTCCAGCTCCAGCTCCATCTCTCCGCATTTAACCACCTGCTGGGGCATATCTACGAGTCCTGTCAACTGGAAGCCATACCAGATTAATTAAATATCATTGTCTGAATGTCACTACCAACTTGTTTCTGTCAAAATAGGTTCCAGTGCGCCTATCTATAGCCCGAGACATAAACTCCCAACCCCTCGTTCACATGTCATTCCCGCTCTATCAATTATCATATGCTTATCACCTTTTCTGGCTCAAACACCTTTGCTTGAGAAAAGTAATAACCTCGCTGGTTCGCCACAATACGCTTCCCCGTTCGACTATCTGTAAAGTCACAGTTGTAATGCGTATGGCCAAATCCCCACAGTCGCACCTGGGGTTTCTCCCAGCACGCCTCTCCGGCGAGATCCGTCGCGAACGCCGATGATATAGGACTCTTCGCGTGCGCGGGATCCACCGCCAGAGGTGCAACAGTTGGACTGTGATGGGTAAAGATCACAATTCTATGATGGGGGTTGGATCTTGCGATTTCAGTGACTTGATCGTTGAGCCAAGCTCGGTCAGCTTCGTGAGCAGCGCAGTGATCCTCGACCGACCAGTTCTTGATGTAGTAAAAGTCATTTAAGCCGAAGCTAACCCTTTCCTCTTGCATCTCGCTGACCTTGGAGTGAAACGTGCACCCCAGAACTGTGAGATCTGGTGCCAGATCATATCGGGTTTGGTCGAGAAGGACAAACTTCCCTAGGTTGTGAGACCCGGACTTGGTATTTTGTATCTGTGCTCCTTTGCGTGTTATATCGTCAGAGAACCGCTTCAGCTTCTCCCTCACGTCCAACCAACTAGAGTGGAAGGGCTCGTGGTTCCCCATCACGAGAAAGACGATCTCAAACTTGCGGAGCTGATCTTCGATGAACAGGAGGAAGCCATCGTCCCTGACATTGCCGATATCTCCCAGAAGCGCTAGATATGGTGCTTTTGGCGCAATCTCAAACAAGTCGTATCCCTTGGGGTTTTCTAGATGCAGGTCGGAGACGATCTGGAACCGTGCCATTTTTAGTGAGGGGCTTGACCTCCCTAGTCTATCCCTCGATCCCAATTGTTCAGCACTCTAAGCGCCCTTGGCTCCAACAAGAACCCTGCAGCCAGTGGAAAATTCAGGGTGTGCACTGGCTGGCTTGTCAAAGAGGGGAAAGAGAGCCACCTCCACTCAACCAGGGCCTTTCCGGGAAGGGATGGGGGGTGAAACTTGCCGCCGGCCGCGAAGCTGTTCTATTCTTGTGAGCAGACGGACCACTCACGCGCCGCCGTGAGTATATGTGGCGGTGCGGTGTGATGTGATGGTGTGTGGCGCAGCAGTGCCAAGAGCGGACGGGGGCGATTATGTCACTCCCCTCTTGGCCGCCATCCATTCATTCATGCTTAATTTCCACGCTCATCGGCCTGCCCGGGGTTCGGGCAAGTATTTATTGCCTGTCCCCCGGTTCTGCTGTCGCATCTCTTCTCCTTCTTCTCTGCTTTACTCACTATCATAATTCACCTGGTTGCTGTGGACAGTACACCGTCTCTCATCTTGCAATCTTCCCCGCCAAGCGGCTGTGCCGTGTTATCAGCTCCCCCCCGCAAAGTCCTCCACTTGGTAACCACAGGGTCTTTGGTTTCTGAAACGTGTCTACTGTCTCTTTTCAAAGCAATTTAGTCATGACTTCTACCGTTCACGATCCAAGGCTACTCTACAGCATCGGCAACATCCGTGCTTTCCACATTCAGAATGGCGAAGAGACAGAGTTGACCCCGTCTGGGCCTCAGACCCTCTCTCTCCTGATGGTCCCCACCAGAACGTCCTCACCTGGCAATTCCCCCTCAACGCCTCCCCCTGATGCGTCTGCAGAGGAGGACTTTTACCTTCATCTGCATCTGCCACCGGAACTGGACCTAGCGCTTCCTGCTACCACCCAGATCTTCCACCAGTCTCCAGACAGCTACTTGATCCCTCGCTGGGATGTGGGCCCTGATGATGGCGCATTCATTCGCATCCAATTTCCGGGTATCGGTTCGGGTCCGGGTAAGGTCACACAGGATGATATAGATACCTTTGAGACTATCCTGGCTCAATGCACGGCGTTCCTCGAACGCGCTCCCCCACCGAGCAATCATGCTCCGTATAATCCCGCAAC